ATGTGTAATGAAAATAATATTACCAATAATACTATTAATAATACTAGAATCATAGAATGGTTTGGGTTGGAAGGGACTTTAAAGACCATCTAGTTACAACCTCCCTGCCATGGGCAGGGACACCTTCCACTAGACCAGGTTGCTCAAAGCCTCGTCCAGCCTGGCCTTGAAGACAGCCGGGGATGGGGCATCCACAGCTTCCCTGAATACTACTCTGAATAGAAGTAGTAGTAGTAGTAGTACTACTACTAACAACAACAACAATAATAATAACGATAAAGTAATTAAAATAATGGAAAAGCAAACAAATTATACAACCCACTGGCTGATGTCCAGGCAGTCCATAGGCAGCCAGAGCCTGAGGTCCAAGAGCTAGACACCCAAGAGCCAGACCCAGACCCAGTGTGAAAAAGAGACCCCCGACCCACTCCCCTCCAACTTATGTACTGAGCATGATATTTGACAGCATGAAATGTCCCTTTGGTCAGTCTGGGTCAGCTGTCCTGGCTGTGTTCCCTCCCAGCTTCTTGTAGAACAGAAGCTGGGAACACAGGTGCAGTACGAGAAACTGACGAAGTCCTTGACTTGATATAAACATTCCTTAGCAACAGCTAAAAACATCAGTGTTGTCAACATTCTTCTCAGCAAAAATACAACACAGCCTCATACTAGCTACTGTGAGGAAAATTAACTCTATCCCAACTAAAACCAGCACAACAGTATATGATGTAGATGTGGGAAGTAGGAGCGTTTGAGCGTGCAAAACTTGCTGGGATACTCTTAAAGGACTGTGGACAGAGACCAAACTGGTGCATTGTCATCTGTACCACCTGTTGGGAGAACTCCCCAACCTTTGTCTGTATGTTAACTTGGACAGTCTAAAACAGATCCAGGAAGTGGCATAATAGCTATCAGTAAGGACAGTCAATGCTTCAATCTGTTCCTTGATCTCTTCTCTTGCTATTTAGAAATACCTAGGTACAAAAGAGATCAGAAATAACACAAAAGTGCAAGTAAGGCCACGGTTCTGATGGTGCCCAGTTCTCACAAGTTATAAAAAAAAAAAAAAATTACCTCCATGCTATAAACTTGTTTAAAAAGGTCTGCAAACCTCTTAGAAGCACTCAAAATTGTACCTCCAAATACCTGTAAAAACAGAGAATTATGAATGAAATCAGTGACCCCATGATGGAAAGCACAAATTGCACATACATAATAGAGGTAATAGTGATGTCCACTAGAGAGGCCAGGGCAAGTATGCTGCACAGTAAACTGCTACTTAGACTATAGCTGTAGGAGGTCAGTCAGGATTTGATCTTGTCAAGGCCCCTTTATAAAGGAGTTCCACAGCTCTAACCTGTTCAGGTCTTCATTGCAAACTCGTCACAAGTGCTTAATGAGCTCAGTTTCCACTGTCCTTACTGATGTCCCCTTGAATAAAGTAAAACTTTAAGACTATTCTAGTTTGTCTTATTTCAAAGGGATTGGGAACTGAAGGTAGCTGGTTCAAGATCAGACAAGAACACTGTTTTTAAAGCTATCTTCAGTTTTTCTAGATCGATATTCACATAATAAAACTATCATTCTCAGATCCTCCCCTGCCACGTGAGTAGTAATAATTAATTAATTCAACTAATAATACTTGACCAGCTATGTCAAGTATTCTTTCTGAGAGATTTATCTAAGGAACAACTAACTGATGGACAGAATCCCAGCCACTGATGTCAGTGACAGACTTTACACCGGTTTCCATTCCTTCTGGATTCTGCCCTGAATCAACACACCAAGGGTGAGGTAAGGAAGTTTCTGATACCTGCATCAAAGACAGACACCAAACAGTGCCCAAGAACCAAGTTCTTAGGCTGCTAATGCCATAAAGAGGAGGCAGAGGAGTGGACAAAAGAAGGTGGAATTGCAGGCATCAAAATATCTTTCTGTAGCTGCGTCTACACTGTTCCACCTTCACTTTCCAGGTGGGATTCTAGTGGAGACAGGGCTTAAGGACAAAGATTTACTAATTCACCCCACAGCTCTCTGATTCTTCTAAACAGTTAAACTTAATTTCATTTTTTTTAAAGAAAAGACTGGGAAAAGATAGAGCTTTAATAAAAGAGGCAGAAATCAGCAGAATTATGGTATTACAAGGCAGGTAAATTCAAATATACACCACTGTACCTTTTGAACTGTACTTACACCGCAATGTAAGAAATACTGGAGACATGGAGACCAATCGTACATTCCTATACAGATCACCATATTAAATATCTTTAATGGGTTCTCTATGATCTCTTGCTGAGTAAGAAAATCATACTCAAAGATCCTTTTACAGCGCAGGAATGTCAGCTCCTGATATTTCTCACGGCACAAATCTTCTCCAGGATGATGTGCAAAGAGAGGATCACTTTCCAGAGCAGAGAAAATTCTGTTCTTGAGGGGGAAAAAACTGACATGAAAATGTTAATCTAAAAACATTAACAAAAGAAGTTGATGTTTATTCATTATTCTAGGATAATACTCATTATCATTACTCTAGGATAATACTAAGCCTCAAATTACAATCGTTTGACAGGATTTATAATGCCCAAACTCCCAACGTAAATTTATAAAGCCCAAACTCCAGAGAATTAAAAAGTATATTTAAATGGTCTATCATGATGCATACAGTTCATGCAGCTAAATTTTATGAAATCTCCTTTGTCATGAACTAATAAGTTCATGGGACTGATTCACTCTTTATATAAGAGAACAGTATGGAAAAACTGACTTGCTTTTTATAGCAGCTTCATTATTTCACTATATGAAGCTGCTGGCAGGATCTAAAGGGCAATGTCCCTCAGTCTGTGAATAAAGGTAAAACTCCAGGGGTTACATTCAATTAGAAATATACCATAATGGTAAAGCCATTAAGCTACCACAACTGCTCTGTTCCCAGATGAAAGCAAATGTACTCCACTTAATGGAATCACCATATGCAGCCATTCAGTATGGAGATGTGCATCTTTTAATGTTTTAATTTGGATCTTCTTTTGCTATGGTATTTTTTTTACCCCTGATCTCTGTGTCTTCAAGACATCCAAATCTACATAACTGTCTTTCACGTCACTTAGGGGGGGAAAAAAAAGTGTAGTGCCTTAGGTAAAATATTTTAAGAAGGTTTTTAAAGTAATTTCCTCCTCTCTGTAGAGAACGACACTCTTACTGTGGAAAAAAACCCAGCTTTCCTATGCTTTTCTTTGAAAGGCAACATCATTCCTCCTCTTTATATGAACAACACTATTTGCCCATGCAGCTATCACACTGTCAGACACAGAGCAATTGTGTTTCTTCTATGCTCTAATCAGTCAGAGGCAGAAAAAGGCATTTTCAATTTCTCTGACTCACCTTCTAAGATTTTAATAATTATGATGAAAGTTTAGGATTAGGTTAAATCCATGAGAATCTATACCACTTCAAAAAAGTCAGTTCTGTGTCCCACGTCTCTAAGTCATGCATTCCCAACCATCTCTTGTGCTGCAATTAGCCTCTTTTGTTGGCAGTATTACTTTTCACCGAGGTAGGCATGCTAATATATCCAACTGCAAGGCCACATAAGCATTAATACAAGCACAGAAAATCGTGGGAAATCGTGTCAGGTCAAAGGAAGACAGAAATACTATGCTGAACTGTGGCATGAACTCAGATAAGCTTAAGTGCATTGTAAAACCACGGGGTATGTGATTTAATGCAAACAGTACAGTAAAGAAATAGGGTAGAATATAGTTCTTTCTTAATTTGAAATGAACATCAAAGTTCTGTAAAGTAGCACCTGCTGGTCTCTTCTGTACTGATGTTCAGTAATGAAATGGGCCTTATGAAACAGACAAGTAGGTTGTTTAAAAGTTCAGTTCTTTTCAGAAAACTGGATGTGCAAAATCCATTTCTTCATGCCCCACACTGGTAAAGCATTATTAAAGTACATACTCTCCCTTTGAAATTCATATACTTGCTTCTACTGATAAGGTATCTCCAAAACTAAAACATGCTTACAGTTCTGGCAACGTTTACCTTAAGCCGGATGATATCTTCACCATCTAGTAACACTGCCATCTCCTTCCAGTTAAAGGAAGCTTTCTTACGATACTTGCAAAGAGGTCCTTTAGGGAAATCTGGTAGCAAAGTATCCCATGAACTGTGGTTGCCAGTGGCTTCTTTCACCTTCAGTGTGGATGCCATTGTTAGCTAAACTGCACCAAACAAGAAAAGATACATCACAAACCGAGCCACTGTAGATTTTTAATAATAAAAAGAAATCAAAAGAGTTGTTAATTAAATCCACAGACTTGTTCAAATGTATGAGTACAGCAGTGCAGAGCCAACTAAAAGCTTGCCCTTCCATTTTTCAATTGGCGTGGTACAAGCTAAGAAAAAAAAAAGCCTTTGATCAACTGTAAATGAATTACATAGTCTTTGTTATTAAAATAGGAGCTAACCCTTCTAAAATATGCAAATTATGAAGCAGGGACACCATGGTTAATACTGCATAATAAGAAAGGGAAAAGATCTAGGCAAAAAAACCCTACGTCTTAAATAACATAATGTGAATAATTGTTACCTTGCTTCTAACTCAAATGCAAAACAATAAAATATAAAAGCACCCAAACGTGCATACAAAGCCCTGTTCAAATGCAGGAGATGCCTGTACTATCTCCAGTATATGTATAACTAGAGTGATAATCCGTTGTTTGTGCATAAACACGACACAGAAGACATCAGGGAAACGGTAGGAACTCTGCCCTTATCTTCCATTGGTTGAATATATGAAAGAGCAAGTGGGTAATCAAATCTTTATTTCATGTCCCCCAATTGCAAGAAACATATTTCTGCAAAATTCTGTATATTTCAATCTCCTTTGCCTCATTTAATCTTGCTCAGAACTGGGTTAGCTCCGCAGACCCACCTGGCTATGTGGATCTGCCCAGGCCACGAGGAGCATGGTGCAGAAATAAAGAAGAGGCTTTACACAGGAGAAACACAAACACCTCCAGCACTGCATACTATTCCATAGCTTTGATACCGTGAACATTTAGAATTGTGAAACTAAACCAGTGTCAAGGTGCTGGCCATCACCAACACTGACTTGAGTAGAACGAATGGGATGAGTGGGAGGCCCTGTCCGCAATGGGTCTGTAAAAAGTACAGATTAAACCTGCATAAATGAAGCAAAATGAAACTATTAATGTTGTGACTCCTACAAAACACATAAAAATATGGGGCATTTCTTCTACATGGAAGATGCAGTTGTGGAAAACTGTAAGCACGTATGTACGCACTTCTCTTAAGTGTCATATTGCCATACTCAAGAATACATTTTAAATAATACAAAGTACAAACATCGCAACCACACTTCATTTTTCCCTCTTTCCTAATTTTACGTTTTCATTTCTATTATTTAGTGGCTTATAACATTTTTAGTCTGTCTTCCCACTAAACATTTTTTTCTGAACACTTTTTTTTTCTGTGCCGAGTTGGCCTCAGTCTTGTGTATGTGATCAAAAGCAGTAAGGCCCCATTAAGTCTGCTCACATTTTGTCGTGTGCATATACGGGTGATGCAAGTGCATTGCAAAACTTCACAGCACCAGCAGGATTTCATTATCTGTAGGTACAACCGCACTAGTTTTGGAGTGATGGGGAATCTCGCTAAGGCTTACGCCTCTACTGCTTCCAGCAGCAGATGTTGGAGTGCCCTCTACTGCTACCTGCTCATATCACACCCAGCAATTTGCCACTGCATTCAGATGACCGAGATGTGTTATGCTTGTAAGATGCAAAAACGGTTGGGCACGGGAACAGAAGCTGGCTACATTATAGCAAGGGGACTGGCTGTAAGAAGCAATTCTCAAAGCCATTGAGAGGACATCCAGGCCCAGGGCTGGCCCAGGGCTCAGTACAGGCTGCAAACATAATAAAAGTACATATATGACCTTCCTACATTTCTTTCAACCTAATCCTCTTATGGAGGTAATTTTCTAGTTCTGGACAGTACAGACGTAGCAGAAGACAACTGCAGGATAGCTTTTCTGCACATCACTTCCAAGCAGGTTCCAGGAATTGAGCAACAGGTTTGGAAAGAAAAAAGGCGTGGGGGGAGGAGGCATTGAGAAAGATCATTTCAACCTGAAGCCAAATAAACAGACATTACTCTTCTAGATGGAAAACAGGTAAATCAGACAGAAGTTCAAGGCTTCTGGCTCAGAACAGAGAAAAAAATACATCAAAATACTGCAGTTACTGCATCTAGCTTTACATCGCAAATCAATGAGATTGCTCAAATGAGAAAACCTAAGCATTCAGAAAAAAAGGACCCTGTACTTGAAAAAAAATTACAATTTCTTGGTCTTCACAAAATATTAAATGTAAATTGGTTTCAAGCAACCAGCTGCAAGACTAATTAGGAAACCAAAACAGGCAGTTCCAACGGTAAACTAAGAGAGGAGTGCCCTAAAGAATAATCTCAGTGTTAATTTCAACCTTGCACTGACATTTTGAAATCCGTGTGTGGATGTGGCAGTAAAAACCTAAC